TTATTGTACAAGAGGACAGCCGACACAAATATTTCTCCCAGTAACACTATCCCTCACTCTACCATGCCATTTAGACATTTATACAGTCCTCAAATACCACCTAATAACATACAGGAGTTCTTCAATTTACAAAACCTCGATTTACAAAAATTTGTTGATACAAAAAAATATTAATATGGAGGAAGAAATTGACGATTCTATGCCTCTGTCACACACATACCAACAAGAATATGGCAATGACAACAACTCAGGCCCCACACAATGGGAGAAGGAATTTGATAATGAAGGCGATTCACCTGATGAGTATTGTTTCCCACAAAAAATTGCTTAAAAAGGTATATTTTTACATTTGGGGGACATTTTTTCTTAGAAACGTATCTCCTTTTATAAAATGGGAAAAATGGCTTCGATATATGAAAGGTTTTACAGGAACATATCCCTTTCATAAATCGAAGCACTACTGTAATATTTTTAAGTTTTATTTTGCTACACCTCCCAGTTTCCTAGTTACTCATGTATTTTGCAAGAAATTCACCTGAACTGTTGGTCATTCTTCTAACATTTCTGCTGCCAGAGAATTAAATTTTAACTACTTCCTTATTGCATCCCCTAATTACTTCATTTTTCCTACAATAATACTGCCAGCATGCATAGATTTGCCATACAGTAGGAAAGGGGTTAACATTGTACCGTACTTTGAAGTCCTGCATTACTCTTTTGGCCTTATGATTTTTTTTACACATTCCAAAATTTTCTCTTATATTGTAGTCAAATTTCCAACATATGTAAAATATATCACCAAATTATATTTAGATGTTTTGTAAGGTATGTAATGTGTAGTGTGACAACTTGGCACAGTTAACTTACATACTGTATATGTAAACAGCCACTTTTGTTTATTTATATTCTTATTGAAATTTCTTTTCTCACAAATCTTACAAAGTTAATTCATTGTCAGTACCCTTATTGATTTTGTTCATATTACAGGTGTCACCATTCATTTCCAGCATTGTTGTACTGGTATCCTTTGTTTAAAAATGGGGCTGTGTTCCTGAAAAAGCCAATTTTAAGTGAAATTATCGCTAAACGAGGGATAAATACAGTACGCTACAGTAAAGTAACATTCTTAATTGTGGTCGACACCAGTGACTGCTCTAGGCCAAGTGCTCTCACAATGGAGCTTAACCCTTCACTCTCGTGATGCCGTATAATGTCACTCTTCATCTCCAAGCTCAAGGACTTTTGGGATAGCTTGGCCTTGCCCGATTGGGTAGGAGAAAATAGCAGTACGCTTTCCTGATATTATTCAAAGTTCACTTATTTTACACAATAGTCACAATATACAAAAAGTCTGTACCGAATAACCCATAAAAGTCACGATAACATCGATGCACAACAATCACAGCTATATGCAGGGATAACAGCGAAGTACATAAGGCGAACAACAGGTTCAAACGGCAGGGCAGTAAACACTGAGTACACAGCGTGGGCACAATAGGTGGTACGCTGGTGGAGTAAAAATAGACAAGTGACAGTAGAGATGCACAATTGGAGCACACAATATCCAGTTTTCCTCCTTCCCAATGAGTCAAAATATCGTTAAGCTGAATTTTGACCGAACGTTAAGCAAGAAAGGATGGATACCTTACTTCAGTTTGTTTGATAACCATTATTAATAATAACTTAATTTCAGCTTAGTTATAGGAGGCACCACTGTGATAGAACACTCCTTACCTAAGTCTTAACATAAACCTCTTGTGTATGGGCCCATCTGAGCTGAATAAAATCGTCCGGCATTAGCCAAATAAAATATTAAAAGTGGCATACCCGTAGTGAAAGGGTTAAACCAAATAGTCAGTATACTGTTTCTCATGAGTTGTTTCGTGGTAGGTGACTCCTCACTTTTCTCTCGCCATTTTGTTGCTAGAATACAGTACTCCAATACTTTTGTTGTTTGCTCTTCCATATATAAAGATGGATTTCTCATTTTTTGTAATACTGTACAATATTCCGATTGTGAAGGATTGATTGAGATAATCTTTTCCTCTCATAAGTACTGTATTTCTGTGACTATTTTCACGCCTTGTGTTTTCACCAGACTGCACGCTTTACTTACTGTCTCTCAGGAAATTATTACAGTACTGTACTTCTTTGTTTATGGATTTCATTATTTACTGTTCTGTATTCTTTTATTATAGAAATATACAATTAGACCTCACATACTATGGCTGCTTTCCATATACTTCTTGCACATTGTTCTGAAGAGTTTTTCTCCCACTGCTTATTCCCATACATAATTTACATATTAGTAATGTAATTAAATTTGTTTTCCCAAATTGTTTGCATTGATGCTTATGTTACCAAGAAATATGTTAGTTAATATTATTCTATACAGTAATTGTACTATATGAAATACAGTAATTGGTAGAGAGCAACGTTTTCTTTCTGACATTTGTCTTAAAAAGTCTTTATCACAAAAAAGTTTTCTGTGACACATACCTGTACTGTATTGGTCTTTTACCTGTATTCTAATAAAGAGGAAGAATGCCATTAATAATGTGCAGAATAATTCTTTAATATGAAAAATTTCCAAAAGCTATATAGGAATTTTACTTTACTATTAGTGTAGAAGGTGACTTGGTGAGTTATACTAGAGTCCTTTACTTGTACAGTTTTTCAGGCTCATCTTAACTCAACAACTGCTATTTTATAATAATTTTTCATTTATTTAATCAATCTATTAACATTTTTGTATAATCATTATATGCAGTGTGTGGAACCATTAGCATGACCCATCTTAGCTTGTTTAAATCATTCTGGTGATAGTAGTTTCAGACACCCTTAGGTTTGCTGTCTTTTTTGTAAATACTCATGTATTTTACGAGTGAAACATAATTTTATGGATGTCACTTGTGCATTGCACACGTCATTAGTCCATAACCTACTGTTTGTAAAAGCTAGTTTGTAAAACCAGTGTTCATTACATGCTTTATCAAGTGAAGAAAACACTGATTTAAACTTATGGTTGGTTCTGACTCAGGTGAAAATGTTTTTGGTATGTAAGTTAAACAATAAAAGCATGATAACTTACACAAATAGAGAAAATTGGATTAATATATATTTGAATTAGAACTGAGTGCTACTATCATAACCAGAGTGTGCCGTGGCTAGTCTGGCAATAGTCTTATGCAGGTTTAGGTCTTCCCAAAATTAGCACAGTAATTTTAAGTCATTGTTGTCATTGTATAACTTGGATGTCAGAGTTGTTTAGGAGAGGGTGTGGTTGTTGCAGGTTTTGGAGAAGACACATTGGAAGTTCTCATATTGACAGTCAAGATTTTTTTTATTTGTGTATATGTCATTTGATGATTTTTCAAAGATAACAGCATTTACTGTCGGCATCTATAATACACAAATATTTAGTAAGATTACCAGTATATATATCTTTGTTAGTTTTAATATATCTAACTAGTGCTGTATAGAGAGGTGTTTGAGGTTATGCTCCCAATAAGTTGCTGATGACTCGAAGTTAGTACAGTACCGTCTGATAACCACTGTCTTACACGGACTCTCTATGTGTGGCAGCATAGTGATCTCTTATACATACCAGGTTCTTCAATCAGTTGCTGATTATTTACATTTAAAATGGTATTTCAATTTTATATCCTTTTTCCATGGTGAATCTTTTAAAAAAATATCCAATTAACAACTGCTTAATAAATTGCTTAGGACCCTTGTGTTTATTGCCCACAAAGTTCCTTTTAAACTTGACATTATATATATATATATATATATATATATATATATATATATATATATATATATATATATATATATATATATATATATATATATATATATATATATATATATATATATATATATATATATATATATATATATATATATATATATATATATATATATATATATATATATATATATATATATATATATATATATATATATATATATATATATATATATATATATATATATATATATATATATATATATATATATATATTATTATTATTATTATTTTTATAAATATCCTGCGGAAAATGGAAACAGCAGTTACCCCTTGGCTTTCGTCTTTATTCAAGACATCTTCAGAAACAACTAGATTACATGGACAAGAGAAAGGAGGAAGGCCCCAAATATACAAGGGTGACCTAAAAAGCATAGAGTCAAGTCATAATGGGGATTAGTGGATGTCATCGTATGACCTGACCTCATATATATATATATATATATATATATATATATATATATATATATATATATATATATATATATATATATATATATATATATATATATATATATATATATATATATATATATATATATATATAAGGGATTTTGTTTGGTTTTCTCAACTTGTACTTGGTCTGGGTACATTCTTGTACAAGTTATTAATGGCAGGTGTTTGTATCCTCATAGCACTCACTGAAACACCTCAAGTAGAATATAAATTGGAAGCTTTAGCTGCTTTCTTGCCACAAATTGGGGGTATTTGCCTTTTTTGCAGGGATTTTTTATTTTTCTTTAGTCAGTCTGTATTTTGCAGAAACCAAGCTTTAGCAGGAATCTCTGTTTGTTTTTATCACAACCAAGTAGTGACCAGAGCGTGACAAATACAGTTGTTCCCTGAATTCTCAACCTGTTACTCAAGTATGTCATGAGTGTGCTGATATTATGTTTAGTGTCTTGTTTAGCATGAACTAGCCTTTACTGTGTTATATTTTAACTATTGTAAATATTTGCTTTTTTATCTCATTGTATGACTGTATTTATGCTTTGTACACTAACCATTTACACTGTGTAGTCTGTTTCTACTGTATGACTTGACAGAATACATCTGGTCTAAAAGACATATTAAAGTTTTCTTTTTTCCTATTCTTCTTTACTTGTGCAAATAGCTCAGTACAGTACAGTGTAAGATAAAATTACTCCGTTAATGAGAGGGATGTATTCTTGAAAATATATGCAACTCAAAAATTTTTTCTCTTTAATTTTCAGTATATAATGGGAGATATGGTCCCTTGAAAAGAAATATCTTCCCCAAGACAAAATAAAATGGATTAGGTGGCAAGAAGGTCAGTGGTGGAAAAGTACCATGAACAGGACCTCCACACTAAATATTTCAAGGTTGCAACATGGACCTAACCTAGATTAGTTATGGTTGGTTAGGTTAGGTTTCCTTTGGTTAAATTTAGTTTGGCTAGGTTTGGCTCTTCTAGGCTTTATTAGGTTAGGTGAAGTTTTATTGTGTTAGTCTAGGTTTTGAAAATTAATGATTAAGTACTTTCTTAATATTGTCCCTCTCTTCTCATGCACAATTATATAGCTGGTGTAGATGGAAGTTAGAGTTGAGGCTGGTTGATGGTGCCAATTATCCAGTCCCTGTATCTGGCTACGCTCATATATACAGCAGGCAGGTTCTTGCGTGCACACCCTTCCCGCCAAGACATGATACCCCCGACAATGTAGGCGCCAGTCTCAGGGTCCTCACATACCAGTCCGCCTCCATTGTCACCCTGTGGGGCCTCTCTGATGTCATTTTTATTCTCGTATTAACTTAATGTAAAGTTACCTACGTTAAAGGGAATGTAATTTTAATAATACTGTACCTTTAATGTCAACATCACTTAACCTTATGAGAGCATGACACAACACAAAGTGAAAATATGTCAGTTAAACTGAACTTAAATCTAGCCTAATGCTCACTTAACCTTCTCTAATGTGTATAATGAAACCATCAAATGTACAGTCTCGTTTAAGATTCTTCAAACACTGCTGGAGACAGCTGGCAACTCGAGGCTGTTTGTTTATTAAGTACATAGTATATTACAATACAAAACAACAAAGCCCAACCATTAATTAAACAATGGAGAACTAAGTAACCAATCACCGATCAAATTTTACATTCATTCATAATTTTTACTACATACTATAGTAAACAAATGGCCTTGAGTTGCCAGCTGTCTCCAGCAGTGTTCGAAGAATCTTGAACGAGACTGTACATGCAACCTATTAACACCTCAAACGACATTACTTGGCCAAATGAAGTTAGTAGTCTGTTACTGGTGGTGTAAACATTGTGAACTAGCAATCCAGCGGACTAACAGTTTAGAGATACAGTACATTATATCAGCTCACCGTACAAGCACCGACGCCACCTTGGAGGTTGCCAGCACACAGTGCATTGGGGTCGGGAGGGAAGGAGTAGGCGTCTTCACAGTAATCTGGGATGAGCAGTGGCACCTCAGTCCACTGTAGAATGGTGGCTGCCGGCCCACCATCTTTTGTCGCTCCCCAACCAGCCTCCTGACACCTTCCTTCTCAACAGCCATTTATTGAGAAAATTAGTGTATAGTAAGATCTACAGTCCATATGAAACACAGATAGAATATAAATTTGAAACAACCACAACTTCAGTTTATCACATGATTTTATTGAAAATGTCAAGGTTTGGAAATTTCATCATTAATAAAGATATTTAATTACAGTAAGTCCTCGTTTCACGTTGCCCCCGTTAATTCTGTTTTGATATAATATCGCTATTCCTTAGATACCCATGATTCGGATAACGTCCTGCCGATTCAGTATAACGACGTCACAGACTAATTTGTACGGTGCATCACCCTCTCTCATCTTGGCGTGCTACGCTCTCACTCATGGAGCGTCACAGCGTCCCCAAGCATTGCCAGTCTTTGTTAGGCTTCCACAGCATTCGTGTGCGTTTTAGTGTTTTTGCTCTTAATACTGTAAACCATTCGAAATGACTTCCAAGCACCCATCAAGTGCTACTGGTGCTAGTGTTGTAGAAAGCAATGTAAGACCATTAGCCTTGCTACGAAAATGGAGGTTTTAAACCGTTTTGAGAAAGATAAATGTGCGGTGGACATTGCTGCTGCACTAGGTCTAACCACCACAACAGTGCGTACTATCCAGACCAGCACACACTCACTCCAGCACCTCCGTCCATCAGTGAGTACAATACAAAATGATTTAGTTTATTTATATATTTACTATTTTCTATAAAAATGCCATTGAATTTATGTATATGTAATGTATTTTATGGGGCAAAGGGAGGCTGGGGAAAGTAACTCCCGTATTTTATCTATTTCTTATGGAGAAAATTGATTCCTTTAACGTTGTTTCCGTTAACGTCGCGGTTTTCAGCAACGGAACCATGATGTTAAGCAAGGACTTACTGTATTGTATACTATTATATGTAACTTACTTTGGTTGGTGTACAGGGGGGTTCTCAGTGTTCAAGGTTCGCCTTTGCAAAGATATTTCATCATAATTTTTGTCCCGTACCTGGTGCTAATTTTTTATTTTTTATTTCACCACTTATCAGCTTACTAGCCATTCAGACAGTCAATCTTTTCTTTTGTTACTTTATTACTACCTATAATGTCCAATGTTAGTACAGGAGGAAATTGGACTACTTGATAAAGTCCTTCTCACTTCTGACCTGGGGTTTCAATCCTGTGAGTGCAGTGGGGAGAGGCAAGCTCACTACAGGGAATGTATCTAATTAATGGAGAGTTTTGTTAAAATTTTGTTGCCATTTTCAATGTTAACTATATGTTCTAGCTAATTGGTGCATTCTTACATTGATAGTTACAAGAAATTTACCCCATGAATCTTTTATAATCTGGACCAGTGTTGTTGGCTCCACACTATAGATATTGTGTTCCCAGGTATTCTGTTGTCTCAAGGTGCTGTCCTTGATCTTCAGATACACTTAACTTGGGATACTCTTGCCTTGGGCAACCCTGGGATTCACTTGTATCCGAGACTTCCTGGGTTTTATTTAGCTTTGGGACTTTACAGTATAGTTGTGCCTGCCCGTGAGACTTATTGTACTTAAGTCCAAGGAATCGCCCGGCTTTTGGATTTGTCGGGTACTTATGTATCTAGTCCGTGAATTATCTGCTGCTACAGTATAAAACTTATCATCTGTTGCTATAGGACTCAGTTTACGCTGCAGTGGGACTTACCTGTCAAGATCTGGGAGGAGTCGGCAGGGACGGGAGCCACGTCGGTGTACAGGTCAAGGGTAGCCGGGGTAGACAAGTGGACGAGCCCTACATCGTTGTGGTATGGCATCTCCCAACTGTGGATGTAACAGATCAGGTCAATCTCCTCCTCTGGTCATGATAAGCCCCAGGGTTGAATTCCGACATGGGTGACCTCATGATTCACAAGGTGCGCTCACAACTCATGAGCTGCAATCATAACTCACTAAGTGTAATAATAACTCATGAGGTGTACTCATAACTCTTGAGGTGTACTGACAACTCATGAGGTGCACTAATAAATCACTGTGTGCACTAATAACTCATGAGGTGTTCTCATAACTAATGAAGTGTGCTCACAACTCATGAGATGTACTCATAACTCACTAAGTGTACTCACAACTCATGAGATGTGCTCATAACTCATTAAGTGTACTCACAGCTCATGATGTGTACTCATAACTCACTAAGTGTACTCACAATTCATGAGATGTACTCATAACTCACTAAGTGTACTCACAACTCATGAGGTGTACTCATAACTCACTAGGTGTACTCTGGGTGTTTGATGAAGTAGTCAACATATAGGTGTTGTTCGGTGCCCTCATCTATCGTGGTATCGTACTCTCCAGACACCACCTGTGGGTGAGACAACACTGTATTTACTCATCCTTCTCTTCAACTCACATGAGTACTGTACCATTAATTAGCCACCTGAGTACAATGTCTTAAGCACCTTAGTAAGATAAGTTAACCACCTTTGTATGATAATCACTCGAATACAATAACTTATCCATATGAGTAAAATAACTTAACCACCTGAGTATAATAACTTAATTACCTGAGTATGATAACTAACCCCTTGTGCATGATATGAGGACCTTAGAATCACAAGGCTGCAAGTGCTGTTTTTTAAAAAGTGAGAAACAAGCCCCTAAAGTGTTTTGTTTGTTACTCCACAACCAATAAAGATATCAAGGTGGGGTTTGTTTTATTTTGAAGATATTTGTTGAAAAGTTTTGTGTACGAGTGTCATGCATCACATCCCATGAGCACGCCCGTCCAGAGTACTGTACATGCATTGTGTTTAATCGTTTGTTACTCCATAACCAATATATATATATGTATGTGTGTGTGTGTGACTTACCCATAGCCATTCTGGTTTCTCTGAGTCGAGGCAGTGAGCTGCAGTAAGGACCCACTCTGGGGTGAGGAGAACACCACTACATAGTGGCCACGACTGCTGGAAATTGGTAGCCTGTATGCTCACCAGCCACGGGTAGTCACCTGCGACAACAGTAATCTGCTTCAGACAATGAACTTTAATTCACAGGATGAGAGTGGATATTAAGGTTAAAATGAAGTGGGGAGAAGAGTGAGATGTGGGAGCAGGAGGAATATGAATGAACAGCTAACCATGAAGTCTGTGATGGTGGATGTGAGTGTTGTTTAGAAAAGTTTATTTGTATAGAACTTTATATTAGGAAACTGAATTGTCTGGTAGATTGTTTTCATCTTTCATTACATAAACAACTTGTCAGGTAGCAGCATGATACTGTACATATACTGTATAGGTGAAGCATAGTAATATATAGGGGTATGTCTGTGCCTTCTGGTAGTACATTTACTGTATTGTCATTATACTGTACTCTATAGTCAGGGTAATTAAGGTTCTGAAAGGCGATGTTGTCAGCAATGGAAACACCAAAGTTCAAGGAGCACCCTGGATTTCTGGACAGTTTAATTTTTCCGTGAGATGTGTTGTCAAATGGGTTGGTTTACGGGTACTTCTTGCCAATGAATATTGTTGTCAACATTGTAAATTACTGTTGTGTTCTAGTCGTCCGATCTGCTTTACAAAATATGCATCTGCTTTAAAGCAACACCGTCCCTTACGATCATACGGTAGAGTCTGGGTATGGAGGTTCCCTCTCATCCACCCAACTATGCAGTCTCGACTTGGTTCATTGCGATTAATGTTTGTTGAAGTCACTGAAGTAGTGCTGTTCTGCTGATGTATAAATTCACATGTTACCATGGTCCCAGCAGAGGGCCATAACCTTAGGAATCATGGGAGTTGTTCATGCATATATATAGGTGTAACGCTGTAACATCGATGTCTCTGTTTTTGTAATCCTGACTTATTTAGAAAAATTCTGGGATTACATGAGCTATGTTTTGATAAACATCACCATTGGCTGCTGATCATCTTTTGGCTTTTCAGAATCATCTAAGAATTGTGTGTGTGTTTGGTGGGATTACATGTGCATCTGACTAATGGCAAGTGCTCATCAGGTTGTGACTGTAAAGCTAATAACAGCTAAAGAAATCAAGAAAAATGGAGAGAGGGAGAGAGAGGGGGGGGGAGGTAGGAGCTTAAAAGAAAATAAGGCACCCAGAACAGGAAAAGGAGTGGGGTAGATGTGGCAATTAATTCAATTTAATCTTTATGATGCAGTTCCTTCACTTTCTACTGTAATTTCATTCTGGTTACTACTACACAATATTATTCAGCTCAGGGAAACCTCCAGCAACCAAAATGTTAAAACCAATAGATATATACAGAAAATGTAAATGCCATACACATACACAGCAATAATATAATTTAAGGAATATATTGCAAAAAGCTTACCTTTCTGGGCATCATGACCACCAGCGATCCTGACCCGATGTGAGGATGACTCTGCTAGCACACCGACCAACACACCTTTCAGGACACACATCACAAGAAAGTGGTGTTATAAATCACAAGTATTTTTGAATTCCTGAAATATTCTACCTAACTTTACAAGTACAGAACACCTACACTTACGCTTGTCTAGGACAGTGGTCCCCAACCTACAGTTCACGTTATATATAAAATAATGTATGTCATGGGTTGCGTTAGGCTTACCCACGCAACCAACTCCAAAGTTTGTTTTACTAGAGATAAGGCACCCAGCGAGCCATGACTACAACATAATTTTTCCATTAGTGGTATTTTAGCCAGTCTATAAGGGGAGGCCATTGAGACAGTGTTGTACTGTTCATCGTCTCACGCCCCAAAACCACATTTTTAGTAGTATCCAATAGAACATTGGTTAGTTAAGATGTCGTCCCCACCCTTTCCCTCCTGAATGGGACAGAACACCACACAGAGTTCTCCACCGCCACCCTATTCTGTAGACCGTCAGCGACACAAGACTAAGTGTGCTAACCAAAGTTTGTTATCCCCGTGGAAACATCACGTGCAGTAGCCTGGTTGCAACAAAAGCAATCCAGGCTGGCCTATTGAACATAAGTGGTTAATCAAGTAATGCCTACAGAGTTCTCCTGCACGACTCCCATCTACAGTGACCGTCAGCAACACGAGACTAAGTGTGCTAACTAAGGTTTGTTATCCTTGAGGTAAGATCATGTGTGGATGTCTGGTTGCAACAAAAGCAATCCAGGCTGGCCTATTGAACCTACAGGTAAGTGGTTAATCAAGTCTACAGTGACTGTCAGTGACATGAGACTATGTGTGGTAACCCAAGTTTTTGTTGTTATTCCCTGTGGATAAAAGATCATGTACGGTGCACCCAGGGACCCTCCCAGGGGCCTTCTCAGGGGTGGTGAAATCCCCAGGAACTGTTCCAGGTGCGGAAGCGCCCCCGGGGACCCTCCCAGAGGCGGTGGCGCCCCCAGGGAGATTCCCAAGGACAGTGGTGCTCCCAGGAACTCGCAGGGAGCCTTCCAAGGGCAGCGGCATCCCCAGAGACTTCCCAGGGACGGCTGCGCCCCAAGAAACCCTTCCAGGGGTGGTGGCGCCCCAATGGGCCCTCCCAGGGGCGTCAGCGCTCCCAGGGATTGTTATCGCTGGTGGTGGCTTCACCAGGAACCCTTTCAGGGTCGGCGGGGACACCAAGGACCCCCCAGGGGCGGCGGTGCCTCCAGGGACCCTCACAGGGATGGTGCTGATCCCAAGTACCCTTCTAGGGATGGTACCGCCCCCAGGGACGGCGGCGTGTCCATGGACCCTCCCAGAAACCCTTTCAGGGGCGGCAGCGGCCTTTGGGACATTCCCAGGGGCGGTGGCGCCCACAGGGACCCTCCCAGGCACGGTGCTGCTCCCAAACATCCTCCTAGGGATGGTGCCTCCCCCAGAAACCCTCTCATGGGCGGCAGCAGCAGCCTCAGGGACTCGCCCAGGGGCGGTGGTGCCCCCAGGGACGCTTTCATGGTCGGTGGGGTTTTTTTCAGATGCGGCGGTACTCTCAGGGGTCCACCTGGGGGTGGTAGCGCCGCCAGGGGCCCAGTTAAGGGGTGGTGGCACCCCAGGGACCCTCCCAGGAGCTCTCTCGGGGGTGGTGGCTTCACCAGAATCCCTTTCAGGGTGGATGGGGACATCAAGGACCCCCCAGGGACCCTCCCAGGGATGGTGCCGCCCCCAGGGACCATCCCAGGCGCGGCGTCGCGCCGATGAACCTTCCCAAAAACCCTCTCAGGGGTGGAGGTGTCCCCAGGGACCCTCCCATGGGCGGTGGTGCCCCCAAGGACCCTGCTAGGGGCGTCGGCACTCCCAGGAGCTCTCTCGGGGGTGGTGGCTTCACCAGGAACCCTATCAGGGAAGGCAAGGACACCCAGATTCCCCCAGGTGCACCGGAGCCCCCAGGGACCCTCTCAGGGACGGTGCTGCTCTCAAGGACCCTTCTAGGGACGGTGGCGTCCCCAAGGACCCTTCTAGGGGCGGCAGCGTGCCCATGGACCCTCCCAGAAACCCTCTCAGGGGCGGTGGCACCCCAGGGGTACTCTCAGAGGTGGTGGCTCTCTCTGGGGCGGTGGGGCCTCCAGGAGCCCTTCCAGGGTCAGCAGTGCCCCCATGGGACATTCTAGAGGTGGCGGCGTCTCCAGGGGCCCTCCTGGGACCTGCAGCAGCTCCAGAGGCCCTCACAGGGACGACGGTGCCTTCAGAGATCCTCCCAGGAGTGGCTGTGCTCCCAGAGGCCGTCTCAGGGGCGGCGATGCTCCTAGGAGCACTCCCAGGGGTGATGGCGCCCCCAGTGGCCCTCCCATTGGTGGTGGTTTCCCAGGGTCCAACTCAGGGGCGGAAGTGCCCCTAGGGGCCCTCCCAGATACAGTGGCGCCTCCAGGGACACTCCTAGGGAGAGCAGCACCCTAAAGAAACCTCCCAGCGACAGCAGCGACCCAATGAACCTTAATAAGGGAGTTGGCGTCCCTAGAGGCCCTCCCAGGGGCGGTGGCGCCCCCCACGAACCTTTCCAGGGACGTCAGTGCCCCCAGGGACCCTCCCAGGGGCAGCGCTACCCTTATTGACCGTACTTAGGGTCCCCAAAAGCCCTATAGCATGCTTGTTTGCTGTGTCATTTATATTACATACTTCCAGTAGTCCCTTACTGGACTATGATTGGTGGTCTATTCTTTTAATCCACCAAATTTCCGCCAATAGGAGAAGAGAACAGTCAATCAACACAACACCACAACTTATGTTTTCCTGTTGATATTGTTCTCCATTACCTTCTTCAGAATGCAATTACACTGGAAATGTGAAGTGCAGTGTATTATTTATTTAAAGGCTGCATCTCCCAGAGTTCTAAATAGCGCAAATACTACAGCACTCAGGGAGCTTACAGGTCTGGCACTCCCAAAGGTCCTCCCAGGGACGGCTGTATCCCCAGGGACCCTTCCAGGGACGGCTGTATCCCCAGGGACCCTCCCAGGACAAAGGCACTCACAGGGACGTTCCCAGGGGTCTTCTTAGGGGTGGTGCTGCCCCCAGAGATTCTTATAGGGGTAGCAGCGCCCCCAGGGACCCTCCCAGAGGCGGTAGCGCCCCCAGGGAAAATCTCAGGGACATCGGTGTTCCCAGGGACTATTGCAGTGACCCTCCCAAGGGCATCGGCGCCCCCACGGACCTTCCCAGGGACGGTGCTGTTCCCAAGGACCATCCTAGGGATGGCGACGCCCCCAGGGACTCTCCCGTGGATGGTGCTGCCACCAGGGGCACTCCCAGGGGATGTGCTGCCCCCAGGGAGGGCAGGAACACCAAAGATCTTCCCCGGGGCGTCGGCGCCCCCAGGGAGGGCAGGAACACCAAAGATCTTCCCCGGGGCGTCGGCGCCCCCAGGGTCCCTTCCAGGAATTGTGCTGCTCCCAAGGACCCTCCTAGGGATTGCGCCACCCCCAGGGCCGTTCCCAGGGCAGCGATGCGCCCAGGGACCCTCCCAGAGGCAGTGGCGCCCACAGAGACACTTCAAGGGACAGCAGCACCCCCAAGGAACTCTCCCAGGGGCGGCTCCCCCCTATTGACCATACTAAGGGTCCCCAGAGGCCCCATGGAATGGTTGTTCGTTGTGTAATTTATATTACATACTTTCAACAGTCCCTTACTGAACGATGATTGGTGGTCTATTCTTTTAACCCACCAAATTTCAGCCAATAGGAAAAGAGAACAGTCATTCAACACAACACCACCTTATGTTTTCCTGTTGGATATTGTTCTCCATTACCTTCTTCAGAATGCGATGATACTGCAAACGTGAAGTGCAGTGTATTATTTATTTAAAGGCTGCATCTCCCAGAGTTCTAAATAGCGCAAATACTACAGCACTTAGGGAGCTTACAGGTCTGGCGCTCCCAAAGGTCCTCCTAGGAATGGCTGCATCCCCAGGGACCCTCCCAGGACAGAGGCACTCACAGGGACCTATCCAGGGGCGATGGCGCCCCAGTTACCCTCCCAGGGACGGCAGCGCACCCAGGGGCCTTCTTTCAGTGGCGCTGACCCCAGGGACTCTTCCAAGGGCGGTGGCACCCCCAGGGAACCTCACAGAGGCAGTGGCGTCCTCAGGAATACTCCTAGGGACAGCGGCACCCCAAGGAACCCTACCAGGGGCAGCGCCCCCCTATTGACTAAACTAAGGGTCCCTAGAAGCCCCATGGCATGCTTGTTCATTGTGTCATTTATATTACATACTTCCAGTAGTCCCTTACTGAACTGTGAATGGTGGTCTATTCTTTTAACCCACCAAATTACAGCCAATAGGAGAAGAGAACAGTCAGTCAACACAACACCACAACTTATGTTTTCCTGTTGGATATTATTCTCCATTACCTTCTTCAGAATGCGATGATGATATTGGAAATGTGAAGTGCGGTGTATTTAGTTAACGTTGCATCTCCCAGAGTTCTAAATAGCGCTAAAACTACAGCACCCAGGGAACTTACAGGTCTGGCGCTCCCAAAGGTCCTCCCAGGGACGGCGGCGCCCCCATGGACCCTCTCGAGGGTGGTGGCGCCCCCAGGGGCATTCCTAGGGGCGTCAGCGTTCTCAGGGGCTCTTGGGTGTGATGGTTTCACCACAAACCCTTTAAGAGTCGGCAAGGAGCCCCTAAGGGGCACCGGCACCCCCAGGGACTCTCCCAAGGACGGCGCTGCTCTGAAGTACCATCCCAGGGATGGTGCCGCCCCCAGGGACTATTCTAGGGATGGCGCCGCCACCAGTAGCCCTCTCAGGGGCTGTGCTGCCCCCATGGGCCCTTCCAGAGAGGGCAGGGACACCAAAGATCCCCCAAGGGGCGGCGGCGCGCCCAGGGACCCTCCCAGAGCCAGTGGTGTCCCCAGGGACACTCCTATAGACAACGGCACCCCCAGGAACCCCAGGAGAATCTATTGTAAGCCACAGGCCATGACAGGGTCCCTGGAAAAGGTGACGCCCCATAAAGAGGCCTAGGGAAAGCCACCTACTCTGGAAGGGCCCCTGAAGGCGCCACCGCCACTGGCAGGGCTTCTGGGAGCACCATGGTCCCTGGAAACGTACCTGGAGGCGCCCCCGTCCCTGGAAAGGCCCCTGGCATCACCGTTGTCCCTGTGAGGGCCCCTAGGGTCACTAGCGCCCTAGCAGGGCCCATTGGGGCGCCGCTGAGTCTGTGGG